CTGGGTTTTAGCTCAAACCCAGGACACCTGCCCAGACCACCAGTGGGCTGCTCAGCACCACTTGGGAATGTGTGGCTGGTCATGCTTACCACAGAAAGATTACAAAGACCTGCTGCTGTAGCGGAGCACTAAGGCTGAATTATGGCGTTAGAGCACACAGAACAATCACTAGGTGGTGGTATCTAAAATTAGAGTTGCAATTTAAGGTTTTGTGCCAATGTGAATAGGGAAAACATATTTTCTATGTTTAGACTTGCTAAAATAACGATTGTTTTATAACATATCCTGTTGTGACATCCTGTGGTTAAACACAGTATTACAGATACCGTCAAATCACAATTCTGACCATGTGACTGCATAAAATTAGACTGTATGGAATTAGCAGTGGTAATTCATGCCTACGTTACATACTCAGTTTGGCCAATTACAGCCTTCCATAGAGCTTTGATCTTCTCCAAAAACATCTCCCAGCTGAGAATAAATCACATGGGCCAAACATGAATATGGGATCGCACAGATATGTTTGTTACATTATCTCCACCCTTTCTGAGAAAGGCCTGCAACTCATTACATCAGTTGTTTACATGCTATCACTGTGAAGGACCATAAACCCACATTTCGTCTTTCGGCAGCACTTGCAATCGAAGTATTAGGCCTCTTCAAAGATAAACAGGAGGCATACAACAGCCTTTGCACAACTGCAGTACGCCTCAAGGTTGTATAAAGCACTAACTGCACTTACACTTGCTTCTCTTATAGTATTATCAAAGATTATTTTTCCCAGGTGAAGGAATACAGCATTCTCTGCTCTGCCAACCGCTCATCCTCCCACCTCAGCACAACAGTGCTGGGCACACGTAGCTGCAGGTGATTCAAGGGACTGCAATTACCCTTCAGTTAGTCCTAAACCAACACTCCAGCCCGTGTGCAGAGGAATAGCTCAATGACACATGAAATTGAGGTCTTGACCCCTGACATCATCAGTAAGCCTTGGCATTTTTCTCACAATTAGTTAGATGAGAGGTCTGCTTAGATCCCAGCTGGGGAATTAGCATTGTTCATTAAGAGCACATTTCAGTTTCATCAACCTATAATATTTCAGGCCTCCAGCTAAGCAGCTGGATATTCATGCAGTTTTAAAGAGTCAGCATAGCTGATCAAGATAGTAGATGGAATGTAACAGATATATCTTCACTTGCATAAGCTTTTCAGAAAGACAGCAAGAGTAGCCTCCCTAGACAATGCTGTATTTCAGCCTCATCCTTTTTACATGAGACTCAAGCAGTTTACACTTTCTCATTTCCTTTTATTACACCAGCTAAAAAAAAAAAATAATAATTGCCCACATAAGTTTCTATCTAAGGGCAATAAATTAAGAATTATACTGTGCATGCTTCCATGAGCACTAGTAGCCTTCAGTGCATTGCTTAGGGAAGGCCCAGAAAAATTAGGTATGGCTTTATAAACCAAATACACTCAATGACATTCAGAAACAAAGAGGCAGCCTATATAAAACTTGCTCCTTGTTGATGTACATTGTTTGTCAAGCAAAATGCTGCATTGTGTGCCAGTTCACTTACAAACCACTGCCATATGTCTCTAATCCTTTTGGATTTCTGTCTTTCATTTTAGGAGACTCATAGTTCAGACTTTGCATGGCGTAAGCAAAGCTGGCTGTGTTTCATACTAATTTTAGTCTTCTTCCTACTACCATTCCCCAGCTCCTTCACCAAGTATTTTTCATATTAGAGTTCTTATTCCAAATATAGGAACAAATAAATTTGGCTTGGAAAGTGTGATAGTTTATTGAATGCATAAAACATTATGATACAAAAATAAGTTAACTGCATAGAAAAATTTCAAGAGCTATAGACAACATTAAAGTTAATGTAGATGGAAGTTTGATCCATATGTGAAGAGCCTCTACTATCTGCATCTGAAAAAACACAAGAATACACTGTAAGAGTTACACAACTAAAACCTTCAGTCACAAGTAGATACAACACAGAAGAGAAGCGCTTGGGCCATTTGTTTGAAATTCAGATGCTTGCTCTGCTTTCCATTTTCCCAGAACTTGACCAAGCCTCACACTGTTACAACAATTTGATATCCTAATGCTTGTGTCTATAGAGCTATTTTAATCACTACAGTACGGAGAAGTAACGATTTGCTTGTGCTGTCAGAACCCCTCTGCTGCACTCCCAACACCAATTAAAGGTCAACTACCAACTCCAGAGCAGCGAGAGGTATGACAGTGGCACTCCTACGCTGTGTTGACACAAGACTATTTTTAAACAGTGTTTGTCTTTTCTTCTTCTACAGGTTATACCTGTTGTGCTGAAGACTCCCATTAGAGGGCACTCCTATTGCTCCCGTTGACTTGAAGGCGGTTTGAGAGGCTCTGGTCAGAGCTGCATACCTGCAAAGAAATACAACCAGGCTCAGCACCTCCACGCACCCTGCCAGTAGTTTCACGCTTCCATCCAACCTAATTATCTGCTTATCTGTTACATAAGTCTTACACTTCTACTGCACAGAACAATGAAGTTACATCCGCCTGCAAGAGTCAGATTTTTATTAAAATTAACTTCCAACTTGGCTCGGCAGAGTTTGATTGTTCTTGGTTACTTCAAGGTGCAGGGCAGAACTTTAGGATTCTAGTACTTAGATCCAGGCCCCAAAGGATACTCAAGTTGGCCAGTGTCTTTTCTTAGTAAGGAAAGATACTGACAGGGAAGCCTGGAAGAATTTCAGGAAAGCACTTGACAAGCTTTTCTCTTCACTCAGAGAAGAGACGCAAGGAGGAAGCAGTGGCTGTTTTATTGACGTGACCAGTAGTTTACAGAATTGCCTGTTTGTCTGAGCTCCCCACCAAACCCTGATACCAGCTCTGAAAATTCAGCTTGAGTTCCAAGTATCCTAAACAGAGCTTACCCTGCCTTGGACATGGGGTGGCTGCTCCTTTTACAGTCGTGATCCAGAGGATGCCGATGTTTTATGCAGAAGTTCCCACCGCATTGTTCACAAACTACCTTCATCATCTCTCTCCTTTTGCAGCCTGGCTTTAAGCACTTGTTTGTGAAGATCTAAGTAACAGAGGACACAGAGCTGGCAACACTCACTTGCTTTCAGTGATCAGCTTCCCAAGTAATGACCAAGCTGAAGCACGAATGCTCAAGCACCCTTAGAATTAAGATGAAAGGGAGCAAGCTTCTACACATTCTCCAATCAGAAAGCTTAACTTCACAAACATTAGGCAGACAGTTTAGACTTCAGGAGCAGTTTCCTTACCCTCTGCTTCTGCTGTGCTGGATTGTATTTGCAGTCCTTATCCATATGAGCTCCAACCACAATATCTGGTATTTCACCCTTCTGCACTGGGATAGGTACATTACAGAGGGGACACACTGGAACCTGCACATTCTAAGAACACACAAACACAGATTACGTAACCATCTTGATTATTTTTCACTGCTTCCCCTTCTTCATGGGTGACAGAAGCGTCTTCACAAGTGTTTTATGTTTTGCTCATTCACCAATACTTTTAAAGACACTTCATAAAGGTAACTGCAAATCATTACAAAAAAGAAAACAGACATGCTTCGCCAAAACTATTTGTAGCAACATGTTTGGCACATTTCCTTTAAATATGCTTTAGGCTTTATAGAACTACAGCCTTTGAACACTTCAAACCCCAAGTACTAGGCCACTTAGTTCTATTTATTCTCTAATTTCATGTTTGCTGTCTTTCAACTTAAAGGACTAGGGCTGCAGAAAGTTTCAGGTGACAATACATTACTTAAAATATAATGCACTCCTCTCTGGGAAGATGCAATGTAAATGAAAAACTAGAATCTAGCAGTACTGACCTCTAAAATGTTATGTTTTTCTGTATTTGAAACTCAGCTTTATTATTAACTTAGATCTTACGGTTCTCCCATCCAACCACAGGCCAAGTTTCAGAACAGCCTTTATATGTGCCTTGGCAATTCTGCCGTGTGAATTACTAGCTCAGGTTTGGAACTTACTTTCTTGTAGGCAGATCTACACTTGTGGTCATCGTAACGGATGTGATCTTTACAGAAGACCTCCCCACATGCATCACACTTCAGAGGAAGGAAGTCTGGGAGGGAAAAAACCAACCAAACAAACATTTTCATGGAGCAGAGCTAACAGTCATAGAAGCACTTATAAAAGACTACAAATAAACTGTAAAGCAAATAATTTTTGTCTTGTCACAATACAATTATGGCTACAGATGTCATTCTCCAAGTAGGAGAGATAAGTTTTCCCTCTTTTTATCCAGTGTTAGACTAACACAGGCTTTAAACACCAGGGGAGCCTCTTGAATGCAGAAACTTTAGTAAAGAATTAGCCAAGAGCTAAGAGTCGAAGGACAAACCCAAAGACCACACTCAGAAGTCCGCATTACTCTTAGAAAAAGCCCAAATATTCCTTAATAGCACACAAGAACAAAATACACTGGGCTACACTATTCCTCTCTTGCTAGTCCCGTCCAGAGCGGATCACAGAGGCAGCACCGGCACCTGCTG